TTCTCCGACGATGGATCTGCTGAGGTCGGAGCCGATGCAGTTGGTGCAACTGATTATTCCGATCGAGGCAGCTCATCGCACAATCTCCTATCTCGGCGATCTCGGTCTCTTCCAATTTAAAGATGTAAGTTCTATTTCCAGCCTCTATTCCTATTTTTGTCCAATTCAATGTAGGAAACAAAAAAAAATCCTGAATTTTTGGTTCTCATTTCTTCTGAATTACTTATTGTTTCAATTGCTTCAATTGCACTGAATTGCAATGTTATTTACAAAATTTTGAGAGCATTTCGTTGCATTGTGAGTTTTGAAATGTTTATCTTGGTGGAAGTTGATCCTGTTTCAGTTTTAGATCTGTTGATCTAATGCCTTTGGTGTCTTCTCCCTTTTTTCCTTCCAGCTCAATGCTGAAAAGAGTCCTTTTCAACGAACATATGCTGCTCAGGTGCGCGTTTATATTTTCCGGTGAAGATTTACTTTTTATATAGTTGCTAATTATAACTAGGTTTAATTGGAAAAAGATTAAGGATTTTCTCTCATTCTTTCCTAATTTACTCTCCATGTAGAGCCACTTATTCTGATTTTCGACCTCGATCCATTAGTTGATTCTGTAGGTTTTCATTGTCTATTCAAATGATTTATATGCTAAAAAAGTTTATCATGTTTATGCATTCTTCTATTATCATACAGTTAAAGAGATGTGGGGAAATGGCTCGTAAGCTACGGTTCTTCAGGGATCAAATGACCAAGGCTGGTTTGTCACCACCAGCATGGTGTTCAAGAAGTGATGGGATTGATTTAGATAGCTTGGAGGTATGCTAGACATGTGATTCTATTCTTTGTTTATAAAGCCTTTCATTGTTGTAGATAAAGAGAATTCTATTGTGGTATGTTCTAGGTGAAACTTGGGGAACTTGAAGCAGAGCTTATAGAGATGAATGCAAACCACGACAAGCTAAAACATGGTTACAGTGAGCTGTTAGAATATAAGCTAGTTCTGCAGAAGGCTGGTGAGTTTTTTCATTCAGCTCAAAGCAGTGCAGCTGCTCAGCAGAAAGCAGTTGATGCACAGTACAGTACTGAAGGATCCATTGACAGTCCATTACTATTGGAGCAAGAAATGGTCACAGATCCATCAAAGCAGGTTAAGCTGGGGTATGTCAGTGGCCTTGTTCTAAGGGAAAAAGCAATGGCTTTTGAAAGGATTCTGTTCCGAGCAACCAGGGGAAATGTTTTCTTGAGACAATCTGTGGTTGAAGAGCTTGTCATTGATCCTGCTTCTGGAGAGGAGGTTAATGCCTAAATTTACTTCTATAGATTCTAAGCTTCTTAATTTGGCACACTTGTTTTATATCCTGTACACAATTTCTTTTTCATTATTTTTTTACCAAACAGCAAGTTTTCATATGGGATAAATTCATATACTGTGTCTACATATGCTTGTTATGCTTCTCTTGTTTTCTTCTTGTATCTCTGTTCAGAAAAAAGAGTTTTTTAGCCCTTTTGTGATTGCAGGTTGAGAAAAATGTGTTTGTTGTCTTCTTCTCTGGTGAAAGAGCAAAGAACAAAATTACGAAAATATGCGAAGCTTTTGGAGCAAACTTATACCCCTTCAAAGAAGACCTAGGAAAACAATTTCAGATGATTACAGAGGCATGCTTTTTCCCTTTTCTGGTACCAATGCCTTGCATCCTCTTGGTCATCTGAAATCATTCTGATTTTTGTGATGCTCCAATTTCTAGGTGACTGGAAGACTTGAGGAGCTAAAAACTACCATAGATGTTGGACTTGCGCACCATAGCAATCTGTTACAGACAATTGGCTATCAATTTGAGCATTGGAACATTTTGGTTTGTTTAAATTAGTTCTTTCTGATAAACATGCATCTGCTTGCTTTTCTCCTTCATGTTCTGCTCAAAATGTTTAAAATCACAAATGTGGTTTGGTTTCCCATTGCTGAGTTACTGAACTTCATCTCTTCTCACTCACATAGGCAAAGAAGGAAAAATCCATATATCACACTTTGAATATGCTTAGCATAGATGTAAGCAAAAAATGTCTTGTTGCAGAAGGCTGGTGTCCTGTTTTTGCAACAAATCAGGTTGGTTCTTTTAACCTGTAAATATTTTGTTGATGCTGCATTAATTCTGTCAAATCTTCCTTTTTTCAGCTTGAAACAAGTATTAAATTTTATAATATTGATTTTGCAGATTCAAAATACTTTACAGCGAGCAATGATAGACAGTAACGCTTTAGTTGGACCCATTTTCCATGTTCTGAAGACAAAGGAATCACCACCCACCTATTTCCGTACAAACAAATTTACTTCTGCTTTTCAAGAAATTGTTGATGCATATGGGCAAGTCATTATAATATTTAATTGATATTTTATGTAGATGTAATTATTTTACTTTGTCAAAGCCCCAGTTGAGTGGTTTTTTATCTTTACATGTTGTGTATATTTCACCATTTTAACTTTATTTCATGTTGTCATGTTTTTCTTTAGTAGGTTAAGTTGACTTGTTATTCTTTGCAGTATAATACTAACACAATAAAATATCTTTACAGGGTTGCTAAGTATCAGGAGGCAAACCCTGGTGTGTACACAATCATCACATTCCCATTCCTTTTTGCTGTGATGTTTGGTGACTGGGGCCATGGTATATGCTTATCTCTAGCCACATTATATTTCATAATCAGAGAAAAGAAATTTTCTAGTCAGGTAACTGGTTAATTCGTTTCCTGCTACTTTGGCAGTGAGCCTCATGCTCCATGTAACTGAAGAATGTCTTCTGCTCACATTATTTCATTTTTCATCATTAACAGAAGCTAGGAGACATCACAGAAATGACATTTGGAGGTCGCTATGTTATTCTGATGATGGCATTGTTCTCAATCTACACTGGATTGATATATAATGAATTCTTTTCTGTCCCTTTTGAACTATTTGGGCCATCTGCTTATGCATGCCGTGACCTTACCTGCAGGTATTTACTTTTTTTGTAAGCAGATGGATAGAAACCCAAAAATCTTCTCGGCTGAGTTAGTTAGAATTCATTTTTCTTCATTCAGGGATGCTTCTACAGAAGGTTTGGTCAAGGTTGGTCCCACTTACCCATTCGGTGTGGATCCTAAGTGGCATGGTACTAGGAGTGAGTTACCATTTCTGAACTCATTGAAGATGAAGATGTCAATTTTGCTTGGAGTAGCCCAGATGAATCTCGGAATTATTCTAAGCTACTTTAATGCTAAATTTTTTCAAAATGAGATAAATATCTGGTAAGCCATTTTTGGATTGTTTTATTATTTCATGCTTGTCCATACAAATAATGAGCAGAAGTCTCTTCTCTGTCTCAATCTTTTGAGGCAGTTATTGTTCATGTTGCATGTCTGCACAATCTTTTTAAGAAAAGATAGATATATTTGTGTCCACAAGTTTGCATTTATATGCGAAGATGCATGGGCCATGATCAGATGTAGTATTTGATTTGCTGCACACATCTTCAATTCTCCTGTTCCTTCATGTCTTAATTTTGACTAAGTAAATTTAATCGCGACATTGCTTTAGGTACCAGTTTCTTCCCCAAATGATATTTTTAAACAGCCTGTTTGGCTACCTGTCACTCCTCATTATTGTAAAATGGTGCACTGGTTCACAAGCTGATCTTTATCACGTGATGATATACATGTTCCTGAGTCCCACTGATGATCTCGGTGAAAATCAGCTTTTTGTTGGCCAGAAGTTTCTCCAGGTTTAATCTTTTGCATAATCATTATCATAGCATTTATTTTCCATATCTGGTACCTGAAGTTAGTGTCTCTGGTTTCTTTACCAGATTTTGTTGCTGCTGTCGGCCCTTGTTGCTGTACCATGGATGCTGTTTCCAAAGCCTTTTCTCTTGAAGAAGCAAGACCAAGAGGTATGCCTTGCAACCCCTAACAGATATAAAACACAATCTTTTACAATATATTGAGTGTGGTGCAGCTTTTCATTCATTCATTCACATTTCTTCTTTCAAACTCAACCAAGTCTCTGTTTTTTTTTTTTTTTTTGCCACCTTTTATTTGACAATATCCTACCATACAATTTCTTATTGCTGCAGAGGCACCAAGGTCAATCCTATGCATTGCTTCATAACTCAGATGACCCTCTTGAAATGGAACCAGACCATAAGTCCAACAGCCACGAAGAATTTGAGTTCACTGAGGTATTCGTACACCAACTTATACATACTATAGAATTTGTGCTTGGAGCAGTGTCCAATACAGCATCATATTTACGGCTGTGGGCCCTCAGGTAGGTTGTTAGAAACTTAACATCACTTTATATAATTGGGGTTCATCCCTTTGGTATGGATATTTGCTCATCTTGTCTGCTCGGTTTTGGTTTTCAACAGTTTAGCCCATTCGGAGTTGTCAAGTGTGTTCTATGACAAGGTTTTGCTTCTTGCCTGGGGGTAAGTCCACTTTTGTATTTGTGTTATACTGGACAGGACTTGGGATTTAAACTGGTGGCAAAAATATTTTGGGATTATTGAAAAAACAAGATAATTTTATTTGTGATTATATTGCAGGTTCAACAATGTCATTATCCTTATTGTCGGTGTTGTTGTGTTTGTATGTGCAACTGTTGGTGTACTGTTAGTTATGGAAACCCTCAGCGCATTCTTGCATGCACTAAGGCTTCACTGGGTGGAGTTCCAGAACAAGTTCTATGAGGGAAACGGTTGCAAATTCCAACCATTTTCATTTGCGCAACTTAAGGATGATGATGAATGAAGAACTGCTTAACACTGTCACTGGCTAACGGGTTGTGTACAAAATTCAATCATATTAAATTTGTTGTAGCATAGAAAATAGTCAAAATTGTTTATTGGACCAGAAATTTTGGAGACAACGTCGAGGTAAGGAGCCTTGAGTACTGGTTTGGTTAAATACGTATCATCCGGGTCAGTCAAATTGCCAATGGAACTTCGTACTTAGTTGTGGGTTTGTACCTCTAGCTAGCAAAAAATCCCATAGAGGTTCGAACTTGGTTTGACTTGTTTCTTGTTGTATGAAATTTTTCCTCCTTTGCTGAGGGGAAATCGGTATCAATACTGCAAATATTCATTGATGTTGAAATGAATTATTTCTTGCCCTTTAAAATCAGAAGTTAACTATTTAATGTTGCAGATGTTTAAATATTTAATTTTAATTTCAAATAAAAAATTTATAAAATTATACTAAATTGGATATTTTCTTATTGGTAGATTAGATCTACAAAAATTAAAGAGAAAATCACCAGAGTGCTCAGTAGATCATATTACACTTAAATTACATAGAGTTTCTTGTTTTACAATTCAAACTGTAAAATAGTGTTTCCAATTATACATAACCATTTGGAAGAGAGAACATAATCCTCCATGGCACGAATATCTTACAGACAATCATGATAATATGACAAGTTACAGACATCAAGTTGTTCCCTGAGCAATTTTTATAGGAGAGTAATAAGTACCAGCATGAACCTGAGAAGATAATCTTAGGTCCTACATACATTCTTTTACTTTAATGTTGACAAGAATCTAGTCTGCTGTTGTACGCATTGCAGCAACAGTTGAGACCATGGAGTCTACCCCACATATATTGCGTCCCCTGCAGATCTTGTAATATCCATTCTCACCCCACTTCTCTCCCCAGGAGTTCTTAATGATCCAGTAAGGCTTCTCCTTGAAGCGGATTGGAGCATAACCGGCTGATCCATATCCTACCAGAAGAACTCCATGGTCCAAATGCCTTGAGCAAATATATGGGCACGAAACTCCTCCAATGTATGTCTGCATGAAAACTGCATTGATCCCCACTGCAAGAGGAAAGCAGCATTCCTTTTAACAACATGGTCTCTTATTTCAATTCAACCAACCTGTAAGTGTGAAGTAGAACCTAATGAAGAGAATTGACGAGAAATAGCTAAGTTTACCAGCAAGAGGGCCATTCTTAACCAGATTTGCAGCAATTTGATCCTCGTCAAGGGAAACAACACTGAAGTTTGAAACAGAAGCAACAATTTTACTCTTGTCAAATTTGCAAGGACCGCGGTCAGTCCCAGTATAGGGATAGTCCTCTTCTCTCTCAAGTCCCCCAACCTTCAGTGTGTACTCAAAAGCAGAGGTCATTAGCCCACCGTTACATCCTGAATCACAGGCACCATACTCTTCTGGATCACACTGCATAATTCACATTACGATCAAAATTTGGGAAATGTTGATTGATAAACTCACGAACACAATATGAAATCCATGAACACACGGCAAGAACCGCAAAATCTTGACAATCAATATGCCTTGACTTCAAAAAGTTGCATAAGTGAAATAATTGAAATCTCTAGAGCATTATAGTCAAGTAATCCACAACATCAACCCAATTCCTGTAGGAGTTAGGAATGACGAAGCTCTTTCAAAACGGAAGAAAGCTCAGTTGGTGATTGCATTTAATTTCTCAGTGCAATTCTCTGATGAAACTTAAAAATCTTAATTAAGCAAGTCAAGTACTAGCTTCAAATTACCCTCAAATGCAACCAAAATGCTTTCCATGCCCAAGACTATATCTGATAGTAGGCTTGCATAGATACTATTGAGTATTGATACTAAAAGTTCTACTTCAGGCTCGCCTGGTATGGATGCAGTAACTGAATTTGTCCAATTCAATGTAAAATTCTATTAATTTTAGTATAATTCTTATATATGCACAACAATAACGAACCAAAAATAAAATAAAACGAGAAAACAAGAAATCAGTAAACCTCGTGATCACAATCAACAAGCTGCTGCTCACTCAGGCTCACAAGCTCCCCTGTCTCCAAGTAATGAGCTCCCTCCAACGCTCCAGTCGTACTAAACGACCAGCACGACCCACATGACCCCTATAATTCAAAACAAATGAATAAATCCATTTATAGATTGCTTATATTTGATAAAAATTAAGCAAAGGCTACCTGGTCTTTAACGGCCGTGACAGCCCCATGATCGCGCCAATCGAAGTCCGTGGGAAGGTTGTTGGTCGGGAGAATGGGAGCCTTTTGAGCATCGGATGGAAGATGGAGCTTTTTCAAGCCGAGAAACTGACGGCGGAACTCCGATGGTGTTAAATCGGAGAACTTAGTGACTCCGTGGACGGCGCTTGGGTCCAGGAGCTGATGGCGCTTAGCTCGTCGTAGGTTAGCCTTGAAGATTCTGAAGCGGAAATCGTGCTCCTCCTGAGAAGCGTATGTTTTCCCGTACTTCGATTTGAAGAGGGTGAAATGGTGCTCGGCGTTGAGCAGGTGGTCCTCCGCATCATCTACGACTTCGCGGATCAACGGATCCTCATCCAAAGAGTCGACGGTGGCGACCGCCGACGAAAGGAGCGACGTTAGGAGGAGGAGATACAGAAGAGAGAGGCGGTCCATGGTGGAAGATTAACAACGATGAAGAAACACCGAAAAGCGTGAAGCGAAATGAACCTTGTGCACTGAGCAGAGATATTACAGTGGCTACCGAAAATGTAGTGTGGTAACGATATAGCGACACGTGTTTAAGTTTCATTCGCTGCTCATCTTAAAAGGGAATAAAATAAAGAGTCTAAATTTGATATTTAGTCTATTAATTATCATTCTCTTATCACTTTGGTCTACAAAATTTTCTCTCTCTCTCATAATAATCTGAAATCCTCAAAAAGTACATCAAAATCGTTTAGCTGTCAAAATTTTTCAATGAAAATAATTAATAATCTTATCTCATAATTTTACATGACACTAACATGTTCTTTTTATTTTATAAGATATATTAATTAATATATTTACTCAATTAATATTATATAACTGTTTCGAAATTTCATTATATTATAAGATAAAATTATAATTGAATTAGCGTAGTTTCTAAATGATACAAATCAAGTTTATTTTTTGTGTTTTGGAGAATAAGGCCATCCTAAACCTAACTCATGTGTACCTTAATATTAATTATTTTTGGGCAATATTAAGATTGCAATTCATATTAATTTGATGTATTACTTTTTTTTAATACTAGTCACAAAAACTTAAAATTTGAAACATTATCTTCAAAATGACGCTTAAATGCATCTATTCTTAAGATTACAAGTCAAGTTTACTTAACATTAATCATTAGCTAAAAATTTGGATGTAGTCAAGTTTCCTTAACATTAATTATCAATTAAAAATTTGGATGTTCATATTAAATGTTTTTATATTAATTAATTTGAATGTTAAGACGGTGAAGAAAGATGTATGAAAAATAGAAGATCGTCTTAGGAGTATTGTGTAACTTAAAAAAATTTAACATCTCAAAGTTACACTTTTAAAGCTTGTTGTATGGAGTTTGATTGAAATCTTCCGAACGTTTGTCCTTGTCTGGTTATGTAGTTTTCCTCTTGCATTTCACTTTTCATTTATTGGGAAGCTGACAATTGCGTTGAAGTCTTAAGTCTTACGCTTTAGCAAGTTGCAATGGAGGACGTAACTATAAATGCTTGAAATTTTGTCTCATATTCATTGTTTTCTTTCTCATCCTCTCGCTATCTGCTTCGGTAAACAATGATGCCAGCCAGCCTTTGGAAAATAAAATAGATAAACAGTTTTAATATTATATAAAATTATAAATTATATATATAAATAAATAATATAATATTAAATAAATAATTTATGTAGACGTAACTATAAATGCTTGAAATTTTGTCTCATA